AATAGTGACTCAATTAATTGCGTCAAATAATTGTGTCAATTGCGTCAAGGATCTACCTATTTCTACCACATGTATATTCTGGATTAAGGATTCTAACGATTTTGTGTTCAATTCCATTCGATTCTAGCTCTTATAGTTAATTTAATAGATAGGTTATAATTCACTTATGTTTTTTATATATATGCAAGTCCATGTGAGTCTATGTGATTCCAATTTTCGGAACCATACTCTGGATTAAGGATCCTAACGATTTTGTGTTCGATTCTATTCAATTCCAACTCTTATAGTAAATTTAATAGGTGGGTTATAACCCACTTATGTTTTTTATATGTATGCAAGTTCATATGAGTCTATGTGATTCCAATTTTCGGGACCATACTCTGAATGTCTTCATGAAGCCTCCATATCAGAAATGATTTCGTGGATCGAAAAACTCATAACTGAAGACAAACATGCCACCACAAAAGAATTGGCCAACCTTGTTGGTATATCTTAAAAACAAATTAATCATATTCTTAATAATGAATTATTCATAAAAAAAGTATATACAAAATAAGTATAATATCGCTTGACAAAAGATAACAAATACAAATATATCAAACTTTCTCAAAAACTTTTAAGTTTTTTTAGAGGATAGAGGCCATAATATTATAACTGATGATAAATCATAGATGTATTTTTTTACAACCTCAAACAAAAAAAATAATAAAGAATGAATTAGAAAGGGGAAAAACTGATCTCAGATCATCAGAATGGTGTGAAATAATAAAAAACAGATATTTTGTATGTTTTTCTCTATTGATGGAATTGTGACTAGTAAAGTAGTACCACAAGGTGCTACTGTAAATGGGAACTTCTATAACAATAAGGTATTACTATTGGTTTTTGAAAATTTTGTCAAAAAAAGAGAAAGATGAATGGTGCAAGATATGATATTTCATTATGACAATGTCACGCCACATAGAATAAAAGCTATTACTAATTATTTAAAGAAAAAACGGATTAAATTATTACCTCACCCTCCCTATAGTTCGGATCTTGCCCATGTGACTTTTTTCTGTTTCCAAAAATCAAAAAAGAATTAGCTGGATAACATTTTAATTAGATTGAAAATCTTGCATATGCCATAAAAACAATTACTAATAATATAAAAATTTGCGAATATGAGAAATATTTTCAGGATTGGCAGACTCGGCTCAAATATTGTATAAAAGTTAAGGGAAAGTATTTTGATGGGATGCATTGATTATTTTTATAAATATATCATTAAATTTTGTAAATAAAGAGATAATGACAAGACTTTTTAATCACCTTACATATAATATTAAATCTATTAAGCAAGTTCGAAATCTGATTTTTCATTTGAATTTCTTCAATATTCTTTATATTATAAATCTTTTTATAATATATAGTTAAGTTTGAAATCATTGAAACTATTCCTGTGACATATTTAAATGCTTTTCTCAGTTGGACTATCAGTTTGTTACAGATATTTTGTTTGATAAAGCAGTATTGCATCCTATATTCTATATGGGGGATTAGGACTCTGTTTACAATATATTTTATTTGCTTATCTGTAATCTTCTTTCTTTTCAAAATTGGTACTATCATTTTGATTTCTTGTTTGATTTTGTAAACCATGTTTTTGATATGCTTTTTACTTCCTATCCATATATTCAAGAACCTAGTAAAGCTGTTTTAATCACTTTTTCAATTACTTCTTGTTGATTAATTTCTATGTATACTAAATTTGATTCTTTATTATAGCTGTTAATTGTAATTAAGACCAATTTGCTACCATTAATCTGAGAATCATTAATTATATAAAACCACTTTGCTCTTTTCAAGATATTTTTTATATCTTCTACAGATCTAATATTTCATATAGTATTATCCATACATGTGATCGTATTACCATAAAAGGAAATTTGATCAACAATACGATTCTGAATTAAATACGAATTCCAATTATTTACTATATGTTACATAATAATTCTACCATAATACGGTTTTTGAAAAATATCCGAATTCAATTCCACCACATGTATAGTTAGAACCAATCAGCAAATCAAAATCAAAGTATTTACTAGGGAGTATATATTTATATTAAAATTTCTCTATTATATTAATTGTATAAGCAAAAAAATATGATATGATAAATAATCTTAGGAAATAGTTAGCAGTATTTATTGTCCTTACATAAAATTGAACCAGTAAATTAGATGGTTTAAAACTAGTGATAAAATTTCATTCTCTAAATAAGTCTTTCCAAAAAATATGAATTTACTTTATAAGTATTATTAATATTACTGAAGCAATAAGTAAATAAGCTAACATTTAGTTATTATAATAACAATAGATAATATTTGATATAATGTAAAAATTAATAGTTATTTAATAAAATCTTGCATTTAATATTATTTACTATAAAAAAAAAATAATAATAAAATATTTAAAATATTTATTATATTAAAATATCTATATATATTTAAGAGCTTTATATATTTTTAAATAAAATTATAATATATTATATATTATTTTATAATATAATTTAAAATTTATTTTATTAATTTAATAAAGTTATAAAGTCTTTTTATATTATTTTTATTTAAATAATTAAAAATAAAAAAAATAAATAAAAAAAATTTTATATAATTTATTAATATTAATTTAATAAAAAATTTTTTTTACAATATAATTTTTTACAAATAAAAAAAAAACATTTTTTTATTATTACTATATATAGTATATACTATATATATTTAAATTTTTTAAATTTTTAAATATATTTGTTTTAATGAAAATTAAATAATTTAATTGATTTTAATAACTAAAATAAAATATATTAATAATTATCAAAAGTTTTAATTAAATTAAAAATAAATTTTATATTGTATATAAAAATTGCTTACATTATATATAAAGATTATTAATATAATAATTATAAACTAAAATTTAATAAATATCTTGTATTTAATACATATTTACAATAAAAAAAAATCTTTTTAATAATAAATAAAATTGAATTTATTTTATAGGAATAACTTGCAATTTATTATTTTATGAAATTAAGTAAATTTTAATTTTATCAAATAAATAAAATTTATTATTTCTATAAATTATATTTAATAATCTTGTATTGTTAATAAATGAACAGAATTTGATAAATTTATATATATACTTATTTCTCATATTTGTAATGATTTATTATAATTTAATAACAATAATTTTAACTTGAATGTAAATAAAAAAAATTTTTTTAAAATCATAATCAATTTGTTTATAATCTAATTAGTTTATAATATTAACTTATTAAGATTAATATAATATATAACATTAAAAAAAAAAAAGACTAATATAATATAATTGATAAAAAATGTTAATGAATTTTTTTTTTCAAAAAATAAAGTAAAAAATTTGATAAATAAATTTTAATTTAACTATATTTTCGATACTATATAATTTTGTTATTCAATGGGATTTTTTTTGCATACAATTAATTTTTTGCGCATCAGCCACTCTTGTTTAAGTGATTTGGGTAAGCGGTTGTTAGAAGCAATAATAGCTTCGGTCCGAATTACTTAACATCCCTAGGAATAGTAATAACTTTCCCCAAGTACGTGATTAAAATTTTACTCAGTAAATTACTTTTTTTTTTAAAAAAAGTCGTGGAATTGTCAATTTTCGAAGTCAACTTTATTATTGATGTTACACTTAAAAAAATACAATAAAGTCAATTTCTATCGTAAATCTTTAGTCCAGAAAAAAATTTTGAAAGTTTCAACAACTCGTTGAAATGACTTAAAAAAGGACATTGCTTTAAAAAAATAATTGAAAGGTGAAATCAGCATATTATACATTCTAATTGGGTACTTTGACATCAATCACTTCAGCTTTATTCTGTTATGAAGAATTATGAAAATGAACTAGTAAAATAAGAGCCGAAATTCAAAGAGGTGAGTCGAAATTACCAACCGTTTTTGCTAGACGATTGATAGATCTCTTGATATTTAGAGGTTTCCCTTTAAACGCATTATTAACATAATGGGAAATAAGATCAATATTGGAATAAGATGTTAACGAACTCTATGGCAACAATCAAGGGTCATACCTTCGATCGATTAACATGCGAATTTTCACCAGATGCTTGACGACCCAACAAAGATTGTCGAGATTGAGAAAGTTCCATTTCATCATCAGAATCTTTTTCCACAACTATAAATTCTTGAGAGGAATCATCACTAGCGATTGAAGAAATTTCAGATTCTTCGTCGGAATCAAATTCAGAACTATTTTCGATTTCCATCTGATCTTTCACTAACTCGGCAACAGTCGAGGCAGGAGAAACGGGATCTTGGAAAGGATCATCTTCATCATTCTGAACTCGATTAACTTCAGAGGAGTCAATTGAATTAGGAATTGAAGATAATTGCGCCGATGCAGAATTGGATTGTTCAGATACTGATTTCTGTTCATAGGTCAAAACAGGGAAAATCATGGAAGATGAAGACATGTTGGAACTCTGTTCATCACTCTCTACGATTATTTCACACCAAACTTGATCACCAAATACATTTCCTTGGCCATCAGTTAAACGCCAATGCCTGTAAAAATAAAAATTTATTAGGTATCCAATTTTACATAATCCGAGCGCAAGATTTAAAATACTTACGAGACATATCTTCCAGGTTCAGAAGGGGCTTTGAAGTCGACCGCAACGCAGCTAGATTTCCCAATTTCAAGTGGACCAACTTTGACCTCAAAATTTCCATTTTCAGAACAAGTCATCGTTTCATAGACCATGGGCGGTCCTTCAATATGTTGCAAAGTGGTGCTTTCAGGCCACTAAATTTCACGACCGAAAAAAGTTAATGAAACTCAGAATAGATATGATGCTCATATAAATTACTTACATTGAGATCTCCATTATTAAGAATTCTCCAGACTTTATGGAATTGGGTCTGTGGGTCAAGTACAGTACCATCGGGAATGTTAACATCCTCGATGAATGAGGCATTCAAGATTGGCACAGATTTAATCTGTTGTTCCGTTTCAGAGATAGTTTCCTCCACAGTAGATTGTGATGCAATGGTATTTGTGGGAGTGAATACGTCAGATACAGGAGAAATTGCGGGAATTTGAACGTGTGGTTTTTGACTCCTGGCAAGTGAGGACGAAGATGTATTTAACGATTCTGGAAGCTTATAAAGGTCTACGGGTGCTCTGCTAACGACGGGACATTCACTTCATATATAGATAAAGTAAGTAAGTATACCATAGTCAAGAAACATGAATCGAATGCAATTATGCTTACGTTGAAGGCCCAATGTTAACAGATCTAGTAATAGGAATGAATCTGTTCTGGTTGGTTTTTTCGGAAGATTTACTAGATAATTCTTCCATTTCCTTATTAACAACCTTTTGTTGAGGTGATGGTCTATATCTGGTTCGACAAATTCTGGGCTCTGAACTGGAATAGAAATTTGGGAGTAGAGGAGCGGTGGCAGAAAGAGGTGATGGTACGGGCCTTCTGAACTTGATGAAAACGTGATCAGGATTATGCTTATTGACGGGTGATGACTCACAATTTCCACAGAGGTCAAAGTCGGGACAGTTTGCACACTATTACGTCGAATATTACGTTATTTTTAACATTTTGCGGGCACAATATCGGAGTATTTTAATTTCAATGCAAATACCTTGTATCTAACACCATTAATCGGCTTTCCACAACCATCGCATCTTATTCCAGGATGGAATGCGGTATCTAAAAAAATTTTTTTTATTAGACCAACAATAATAAAATAAGAAACATTATAATAAAAAGAAATGGGTCGTACCAAGAATTTTAATTTCAGGCTCACCAGGACGGCGAATTTGCATAAATGTATGATATGGATGTTGTGTGGGTGCGAGCGCTGTAAAGTTTTCAAAAATTGTTAGGACATGATGACTTGATATGCCGATGGAGGTGCAAATTCTTACCAATACAATTCTGACATAAGTCAAAATCGGGGCAGTTAATACACTTGTGGCGAATACCAACGATCACTGACTCACAATAATCGCAGGTTGCGGAATGTTGAGTGAGGGAATCTAGAAAAATTGGAAAAGGGTTAGAATGACAAATAGTTCACGGTATCGATACAATGCAAGCTTTGGGAGAAACGTACTACTAAAATGATTATGTGGATTAATTGGGAAAGGAAGTTGTCGGAATGGGTGACGATGAATCTGTGGTGATTTTGGTTTACACGCCTGGCAAAGATCATAGTTTGGACATTTTGCGCACTTCCATCTGGTTCCACGAATAATTGACTCACAATTATCGCAAATCACCCCATGGTGAACCACTGGCTCTATTCATAAAAACAAACCAATTTGATTAAAACGGGGAAAAGGTTTCGTAGTCATTGTTATTAAATTTACCAGAATATTTATGCGAGCCAGGCACAGGAACTTTTCGGTTTTCGGTAGAAGCCACAAAACTTGGAGCTCGTGTCGTATCCCTGGAAGCATTTGTTGATCCTCCATCATTACTGGTCGTTTGTTGCGATTGCGATTGTTCAGACACATTCAGATTCAAATTTGACAAATCCCTTTCTATGGCCGTACTAAGTTGACTGACAAAGTTATGCACCATATCTTGTACGGTCTTTATGCTAACATTGATCACTTTCTCAAAAGGAAATTCTTCTTGATTATATTGTTCATCGTTCTGAACTCTTTCGTTATTGGAGGTCTGGGCAGCTTCGGTGGACGATGATTGAGGCGCAGTATTTACCTTATCCAAACTCAACTTGATGACTGACTTCCTATTGGTACTGTGACTACTAAAGTAGTTGATAGCTTCTCTCAAATCAGAATCATTTTCAATCACAATCTGGTCTCCGTCGAGGTCGGTATAACGAATCTTAAATTCTTTGATATTAAATACATGCGACAGCTAGAAAGGAGTAATTTTTAGAAATTATATTTTAACGATTTTTGAAGAAATGAACGGTTGTTCCCTGAGCAAAATCATTTCAGGAATGTCTTATTCGTATACATATGAACATTATATATACCTTTGAATATAATACTGAATAAGAAACGTCAGCAACACTTGGAAGGGTGAGACGACGGAGAACGTTTGGCTCTTCGGAACAGTTAACTTTGAAATTTACGGGTGCAGTTTCCATATTTTTTTTTTTTTTTTCTTATTATTTGCAGTTACAGAGTACTATGATTGTAAGATAGATATATACACAAAAAGAAAATTGTAAAAATTGTAAAAAGCAAGCGGAGCTAGCTTAAGTTGCAACCAAAGATGAATCAAAGAAAATAATCCCAGAAGAAAGAAAGTTCAAGAGAATTTGAGGCTTAAAACGTTCATGTTTTTATATAATTGTAAATGGTCATGCGACATTGATGACGAATACTGAAATTGCTTACGAATTTGCGTACGTTTGATAAATCAAACTTGAAACCCGATTGCGTAACCCATATCGACCTCTTTGATTGATGAATAAAGTCAAATATACGTTGTCTTAAGTGCCTAAATATAGAAACTGTATAATGTATTTGTGTATCTTATTATACTTTAATTACGTACGTTAATTCAGTTGGTTCGATTATCACTAATTGTTTTTTTTTTAATAATTTTTTTAAAAAAACAAAAAAAAAAAAACAATTACAATTAAATGATCAAATAATTTACAAATAACAATTATAAAGTATAGCAATACGTATCATATATCTTCTTAAATAATCGGATGCTATTTCAAAGGTTAATAAAATATGTACTAATTTTTATTTGCTATTAATTTGTTTTAAAATCAATTTCAAAGTTTATAGTAAATCAATAAATGTCTAGTACTGTATATGTTAAAAGATTTTTTTGAAAAATTCAAAAAATAATAATTATAAAAAGAATTTATAAAATTACATTTATAAAAAAATCGCAATTATTATTTATTTAATTATGAAATAAAAATATTGTTTTGTTTAATAATAATTTAAAAATTATATCTAAATAGATTAATTAAATAAAAATCAAATCTTAATTTTAAGAATTGATATTTTAAAAAAAGAAATTATCATAAAGAATTAATAATCTAAATATGTTTAAGCTAATGTTACAATTTATTTATTATTTTAATTATCATATTTTTTATTCTATAAATAAATAAATTAATATACAGTGTATATATTAAAATAATAAAATATTCATTATTTATTACCATAGTTTTATTCATTTATTTATTAATATTAGTTTAATATTTTATATATAAAAAATAATAATTTTTGTAAAAAAAAAAATTTGTTATTATTATTAAAGTTCTTATTTATTTTTATTAATAAAAATTGCTTTTTATAAAATTAATTTATGATATTGATTTTCACTTCTAATATTAATTTTTCATTTTTTTCATATACGCAATAGATATAATAATAAATAATAATATAGTTACAGAAATATTAGTAAATTCCTCAAGTACTCATTAGGATAGCTTACATAAGCTTGGCAACTTTGGCAAAGCTCAACAATCTCGATATAGCGTGACAAGTACTTAACAATCTCAACATGGCTTGAGCAAAGGCTGATATTAAAAAATTATGATACGATTAATTGGAATAATACATGAATAACAAAAAATTACCGGCATTAGATAATAATACTCTTAAAATTTTAATTTTAATTTGTTTTTCATAGTCTAAGAAATATTTGCTTATGAAGAGAAATGTCATTTAGTAAGCGTAGGACTATATACAGTATTTCAACGCAATTGATAAAAATGTCCGCGTCCCCCTCGCTCAAGAATTGAGTCGATGAAATTATTGGCTCCAATTGATACACGAATCTGAAATAGTAAAACTTGTTAACTCCAGACTTAATGATATGTTAATTAATAAATTCTACTATTTGACATTTTAAATTGGATTTATTCATTTTTGATTGATTTTATTTAAAAATTATGATTCCTATTCACGATTACATTTTCGCTTTCACAAGATATAAGACCTTAATAGTAAAAAGAAGATACGAGCAAAAAATTTGAAATTCTGTAACATAGTCTAAAAGTTGGATAAAAAACAAGGGGTGTTGCTATTCCTCGTTCAAAACAAGTTTGACAATAATAATGGTGAGCGCAGTATTCTCGCGCAATACCTCAATAGGGTAGCATCGGCCTAGTCCGATGTGAAACACTGGAGTTTTACCAGTAATTTATGTTGTTTACGTAGGAAGAGTTCGTGTCGCAAAAAGATAAATTTATCTTCTTCTAAACACGTGCTAACCACAAAAAACGTATTGTCGATGGAAAAAAAGAAATTTGCGTAAATTTATTTATTATTTTTTTTTTGAGAATTCACTTTATGTCCAATGATAATGATGCGTCAAGTCCGTGACCGTTTCACATCATGCCTACTGCGACTACTGTTACGATGACGTGAACCTGAACTTGACGTTGACGAAGACGAGGGCACTGCGTTTGGCGCGGGCACGTCCCATTTGCTGGCACGTTTTTTCCCTAAATCGCAATATACACAGAAATCAGAGAGCACAGTAAAAATTTAATAACTAATTGATAATGTAACGTGAAGATGACTTGTATTCCATAACGCACCGGAAGTTCCTGTGCTGGTAGTCTTTGGATTGGTCGTTGTTGCATCATTTACGTTAGATGAAGGTTGTGAAGGTGCAGAAGTGGGTATAGAGGCAGTAGACGTGACACCACTAGTTGTTGAGGAGCCCTTTTCTGCTCGGGCTGCAAGACTTTGCATAACATGCCGAGCTTTGGAGATTCCTTGACTATTAGAACTTGAACCTACAAATTGTATCTGTGATCGTTGCTGTTGCTGTTGTCGTTCTTCTGCTTGTCTCTTTTGCGCTTCCGCTTTGAAATAGAGATTAAAATAATATCATATTCTGGCCCCTGACATAAGGTATGATGTAAAGACGAAACTGCAATGTTCATGAATTTACCGAGTTGATCGGCAAACGCATCCGGTGGAAACCCATAAGGGTCGAATATTTCTCTATCCATATTTGAACCGATCTCGTCCAACTCCACAAATTCTACCAACTTATTATATATATGTGGATTACGAAAAGCCTTATTTTTTGAAAGATTTTCGTTGAAAATGATACCTTTGCTCTTTAATTGGTGAAAGTGAGCAATTTTTCCCTTGCGAAATATCGACAAAAAAGCTTGCAATCAGTTAAAGATTGATAATCAACCTTTTTTCTTTGGAATGCACACGTGTACACACCTGTAACACCTGATCACATTCGGTCTCTGGTTCCTGTGGAATTCCCCAATTCTCAGTACCTTCGATGGGTTTTGGTGTTAGCAATCGACGCATGACGATCTTTTGTTGAGAATCTTCTGGTCTATCCTGTGACATCTCGACTTCCATCGGTATCGACGGATTACTGTTGCCAACGTGTTTTCCTGATTGATCCGATAATGGCGAAGAAACATTAATCTCTATTCCGGGAGATACACCTAATTTTGGTAGAGACGGATCTCCATCACGTTGTTTATGTGGTGTGATATTATTACTTTTTCGGCGAACCAGGTTGGAAAACACAGAAGGAGAGGATGTTAGCGATTTCAGGGGGAGTTGGGTTTGAGGTTGCGATTTTTTTGGCGATTCTTTCGGTTGTCTGCGTTCTAAAATTAAAAGAAAAGAAGTCAATAAGGTCAAAGTTTCAGGTGTCATTGTTCGGGAATAAATCCTTGGGGGTTAAATGTTCGTGTGGGGATAGTATCAGAAAAAAAAAAACAAAGGAAACACAAATGATCGGACGACGAAATCAAATGACACACCGGGAATCAATTCACTTGAATGATCTCGAGAATTTTGCGGCCTGACTTGTTAATTACCTGCAACATCATTGTTTACTATGTCTTGGGATATAGATGCACTCTGTTAGGAATCAAATCGTAGTATTTTGTCAACCAACAAACTCTATTCCACAAGACCCAAAGTCTAAGACAAGCTTTCAAGAAACCATACTACGTTTTTTTGCTCAGAGCCTCTTCCTGCTTCTTCTTGATCTTCGCTTTGGTTTTCAGTCGGAATATCTTCGTTGAAAGAGATATACACGTAATTAATTGAAGTCCACACGACATTTTGTTTGACAAGCAATAAATATAGTGTATGCAATACAAATCGTTTACCTGCAAAGTTATCGTGCTGTTTCGTCGTGACCCCTTCTTTATCAGATTGTGGTTCCTCATCTTCGTCGTCATAATAGTTAAGACCTAGTAGGCTACTCATGAGTGAATTGAAATTTTCAAACGAGATTTCCAGGTTTTATCATATTAGCCTTTTATTGGCTCACCATGTATTTATTACACAAAAGGACGTATGCACATATGCATGTTGATCTCATAACAGTAATATAAACAAGAATTTTCCCGAGATTCGTAATCAACTTCT